GTGATAATTAGAAAGATGACTAAATTACCTACAAAAAAAATCGGACAATTATTATAAAAGATACAGTCCATTAGTTTTGGTATACTTAATAATTTCTTCCGATTTAAAGATATTACTTTTACTATTCTACTACACTTTTTTCTCTGGCTGATATATTAACTTTATTATTTCTTAAAGGCATTTGTCTGTTCTTAAATTTTTTTTTTTTAATAATTTAGAAAATCCCATGATCGGGGCATTATTTTGTCTTTATTACTTTTATTATCTTTCCAATATTGTAAAATTAAACATTCTATTAGAAATTAGACAATTTAACAATATCTCAGTGTATTTCAATGGTATAATTATACCATATTATATACACTCATTATATAATTAAGTGGTCTTTAAAATCATTGAGGTCTTATCCCCATTGATGTCACTTTACAGGGCTTAAATGTTCAACATGTCTTCCTCTAAAGTACCTTTAATTTGATCTATTTTAAATAATTAACTATATCTCATTATTAAGAATTACGAAAAAATGCAAAATATAACTTTTGATATAATTTGATGATTTAAAAATGGAAAATGTTTACTAAGGCCGAAAATTATGGAGTACCGAGGATTTTATTGTCTACCATTGAAATAACCAACAGAATTTTTGTTATTTAGTGGACTTAATGATTTTTTAGCTGTAAGCTTTAAGCTATTGCTCCATTAAAAGCGCACTTCAAAAATTTTATAATTGCTCAACATTGCCAGAATATAATTTATATTCAAGGTAGAGCGGTAACTGTAAGCTGTGTGTTGCGCGCACCAGATTTTTATTACTTATATGAGCCTTTTATTTGATAGAATGAATTAATTAAAATTTTAACATTTTTGTTTAGTAATTTCAGTAATATTTCTAGTGGCATGATTTATATCCTTATTCACATTTCTATATTTCAACACTGCAATCACCTACTCATGAATTAATTTACTGTTCAGATATTAAAAATTTTCCAACTAGAAATATCACTAATATGACTTAACTCAAAAATGTTGAAATCAGAGTTAGTCATTCTGTCAACTGAAATGCTCATAATTGAGTCAGTTTTTTCCTAAGTGAACCCTATTACTGACGAATTTCCAGAAAATTCTATTCTAATTATAATACCAAAACTAACATTAAATAAAAAATATTGAAACCTGTATATGGTTAGTTTTGTTAATAAATAAACTTTTTTAGTCTATTTTTGAACGAAAAATATTTGGAGTGACAAAGTTATTTATATAAATAGTACTTTTTTGTTAAAATTATGAAAAACACAATTAATTTATTTTTAATTTGGATAAAACAGTTGAAAAAGCTTTGATAAATGATTCTTTTAATAATGTTTTCCTACTTATATTTAAAAAATGCAAGTTTCATTGGAAAAAAATTTTGGAAATAAACTTATTACCCCTTTTTTTTTTCTAAATTTAGTTGGTTTAAAAAAATACAACATTGGATTCATTGGGTGTTTCTATATAGTAATCGATACTTATCTTGATTTACAAAAAAAATCGATTAGGAGGGTTCACTTTGGAATCAACCGACTCATAAGACAGATTGCAATTGTAATCTTATTTCCCCTGATCTGTTGATGCTCATTAACTAATATTACTGCATCCAGAGCCGGGAGAGGTTGAGAATAAAAGAGACCACTTCAGACATTTTATTTTTAGATTAAATTAAAAAATATTTTTGAAGTGAAAACTACTTAAGGAGCGTTATGCATTTTTTTTTTTTGGAGAATGAATTAGATTGAGCCGTCAGTCACCGACGTATAACGCTCGGGTAAAGTCGACTAATTGAAATGTTTTTGCATATAGATTAAAATACCTCAAAAAATAAAAATCGGACCTGCATACTGTAAGCGAGAGAAATGTTTAGTATTTTATCCTCTTTGTAATGAGCTATTATTAAAAATTATATCTTAGCGTGACGCCGTGTTAGAGAATCGAAAAAGGAAAAAATAGTGTCGAAATGATGAGTTTTATTGAGGATATGGATTAAAATATCTCAGAAACTAAAAATCGAACCTGTATACTGTAAGCGAGGGAAATGTTCAGCATTTCATCCTCATTGTAATGAGCTATTATTCAAAATTGTATCTTAACGTGACACCGTGTTAGAGAGTCGAAAAGGAAAAAAATAGTGTCGAAAACCAAATCATGAATTTTATTGAAGATATGGATTAAAATATCTCAGAAACTAAAATTCGGACCTGCATACTGTAATCGAGAGAAATGTTCAGCATTTCATCCTCTTTATAATGAGCTATTATTCAAAATTATATCTTAACGTGACACCGTGTTAGAGAGTCGAAAAGAAAAAAAATAAGGTCGAAAACCAAATGAGTTTTATTGAGGATATGGATTAAAATATCGCAAAAAGTAAAAATCGGACATGCATACTGTAATCGAGAGAAATGTTCAATATTTCATCCTCTTCATAATAAGCTAATATTCAAAATTGTATCTTAATGTGACGCCGTGTTAGAGAATCGAAAAGGAAAAAAATAGTGTAGGAAACCAAATAAGTTTTATTGAGGATATGGATTAAAATATCTCAGAAACTAAAATTTGAACCTGCATACTGTAAGCAAGGAAATTGTTTAGTATTTCATCCTCTCTATAAAGAACTATTATTATATGATTGTTTTCACTTCTATCATGTGGTCTAAAGCACACATCTTATTTTCTTTTTACTATTTTGACTTTAATTGAGTTGATAATATGAGATGTGATATTTATTTTTAAATGTATATAAACCTAAAATACAATTGTAAAGGGCTTCTATTGTGGAGGGGAGAGTTGGAGTAAGGGGGAGCAGAATTCAGCTTGCCTTCCCCCTCTCCTCTCTGAATCAGAATTCTAGTTTTGGCCCTGACTGTACCTCCCCACCTTAATACTTTACTATAAACATCCAATTGTCTCAAACCAATATATTGAAATTAACTTTCTAATAATAATATCCAGCATAAGGTACATAACAATATTCATCTATCAATATTAATTCTCACTTACCTATTCAACATACCTTTACAAGTGTTGATATTCAATGGCTACTAACTTCACTAAATTATAACGATAAATTTGTATATAACTTAATAACCCTCACAGAACTATTAAAACCTAAACATTTCACATGCTTCAAATAATAAACTCTATACAATACATAGTACCAAGTTGATCATCATCTATGAATTATAATATATAATAAAAATTATTAAAATAAAATTTCTTTTTAAAAAAAACAGCTGATAGTCTAACACTCAGGAGTACTATGTTTTTCATATAATTTTAAAAAATATATATATTTTCTAATCACACATTGCAATGTATCTCATTATCACTGAATTGGAGGAATACAAACTTTATCAAGTTTAAGAACTGCTTTTACTTGTTTAAAAATTATAAGCAATTTTTTTCATTTAGGTAACAAACATTTTAACATCAATTTTACCAATGGTAATACTAAGCACTTCATTATATCACAATTTTTCATTGCATTTTAATTTGTCTTCAAAACATAATAATAGGTTTATATTAATTTAAGAGACTTGATAAGAAACTATCTTCATTTTTAATTGTTGAATTCCTAGCTCGGGATATTAAAAACACCAAGTCCTAACAATATTACAAACATTATTTCTTGTAACCCTTGTTACATTAGGATTGAACTAAAAATTCCTCATTGCTTTTGCATTCACTAATCTCAGACTTGATAGATTTTTAAGTCAAGAGAATCACAAATATATAATAAAGGATTGTACAGCACTGCTTGATTATATTTTAACACGAATAAGAAATAAAATAATTGTATTTTTAACTTGGATTTACTTTAACTGATTATTATTTAAAATATGATAGCTGAATATTGAAAAAGTCACTTGAAAATTCATAATAAAATTTGTACTCTAAAACTTTACTTAACTTGTGAAGTTTATATTAACTTTTTATATTTACAACATTTTTCATAAATTTATTCTTAAATAAATAAAAAATAATGAAATTGTTTCCCACACCTGCCATTGTGGTTACACTAAAAAGCTTCAGCTCAAACTTTTCACTGTATTTTATAAAATTTTAACTGTCTTTAAGTTAAATAATATAAAAAATAGAAAATTACTTACCTTTTAAGAATATACAAACCTTTATCAATTTCAAACCAAATATCTCTGTCACAACGTTGGTTAACAAAGGACAATATGACGTTACTTATGACGTCATCAGTTAACGGTCTCTAAAGGTTGAACAACCTTCTCAACAAGTATCAAATATCTCAAATTTAAAATAAAATAAAATATGTAATTATTTATATTATAAATATAAATAAATATAATTTTATTTCAGTTAAAAATAAAAGCAAAAAATAACTTAAGTGTACAAGTTAAAAATTAACTCATGTTAAGAGTAGAAAAACGTTAATAATAGAAACATTCATTTTAAGTTTGAGATAAGATTGTAATTTTTTCAGATATTTTATCTTCAATATTAATACACTTCAGATATAAAAGTTTAAATAAAAATGTTAATTCTTTTTTTTTTTTTTTTTTAATAAAATGTACTACCATGAAATAACTGAACCAAAAAAGCAAGAAAAAAATTTACTCACATATTTTTCCATTTCAGGTTTTAGGGGAGAAAGATTGAAGACTTCAGATTTATCATATAATAACTCTTTATTAAATTCTCCAATACTTGTATGTACAAATCTTTACAATAACTCTTAAAACAGAGTTAATTACATAAGCCCATCTTTTTTCATTAAACTTTAGAAAATTTTGTACATTATATAAAAAAATATATAGAACAACTTCAGTAGAAAAAAAATATTTTAAGTGAGAAAAACCACCTTAAAAAGTCGGCAATAGTGAGGAGCCAAGGAAAAGAAAAAATTATTTCGTCGGCTAACATCACTATTACAGACGTTATTATTTACACTGTACAATTGTAAACGGTAACTTAAAACATTTTAACCTTTTTGGTTAAACAGTCATTGCCAGAAATGGCCTCTGTTGTAAAGAATCGACTTCTTTAGCTTGAGCAGAACACAGATCGGGTGTCGAACTAGACCTGGTGAGTTTGATGCCGTCTCCGGAGAGTCCGCCGAAACTGAAAATGGACACAAGGCTGGTTATTCTGTCAATTTCCATCGTCGTGTTTCCTCCTTCGTCTAACAGGCCGTCGTCCAGGAATACGTTGTCTTCTTCTTCCGTCCTCGCCTTCTTGGGTAGAATAGACATGACAGCTTCTTCGGTCTCCCATTCCGCAACCCTCCGCCTCTTGGTACCTTTACTTAACCGGAGCACTGTCTGTTTATCATTGTCCAAATCAAGGTAGGTAGGTGCTTCGACGGGAGCTTGGTTCTCCTTATCGCACTCGGGGGGACACCTAACACACACAGGCGAACTTGGAGCGAAGAAGTTCAACTCTTCAGGTTGTTCTTGTGGAATTTCTTCATAATAAGGCTGCTGAGGCTGGGGATATTCTACAGGCGGATTATGGACCATGTGGTATGCTTCTTCCATAAATATGTACCTGGCTTTTTGAAGGACGGTGGCCACTAGAAGATTTTTGTGTAAACTGACACCTCCTCGTTGTGCCCTCGATTGTGCTATCTTCGTCAACGAAATACTTATTAATCTTTGAGCGTCTGTCGCCATTCTTGATAAAACTTAGTCCAGAAGAAAACAGAGTCACTTCAATGAAAGCACTCACGCATGTTTCACTAGTTGCTTGAGTAATCCAAAACTTGGCGGGCACTTGACACTACCTAAATTGTAGGTACACTGCGCGTGGAAGTCGACACAGGAATGCTCGTCGTAGTGGCCGACCGGTCCTATATATAACTTCGTCAGTGGTGACGTCACGGCCTACTTATCCGCCAATGAGTGAGCGGCCTTCGCCATTTGGAGGTGAGCCCTCTGGTGGTGCTCTCTCTAACCAACCTCGTCCCTTGCTTCTCCCTACAACTGCCCGTTTTAACGAATATTTTCAAAATACAAATTCACAAAAAAATAAACTGACATATAAGTAACTTGATCATATCAATAATTGTATAATAATATGAAAAATAAATTCATTATTACTTCAAGGAAATATTATTTTAAATCGAGCGCTACCTACAGGCAGCAGATGGAACTACAACGGAATGAACAAAGAGGGGGCAATGCCATTTCTCTTGTCTTCAGAATTTCACTATCCAAGAATATCTAATATTTACTGATTAATGAAATACAAATCAACAGTTCTTAAAATTTTAAATTACACTTCACAATTAATTTCAAAATATATATTCTATTTTGGATTTTTATCCACATATTATGGTGAAAATAACTGATTTAAGATTACACATTATTGAAATTAAATTAATATTACACTATAAATCATGGCTAGTTATATTTAAAATTATTAAAACTGACTACAAATAATTTTAAGTAAAAATTAAAACAATAAGATCGATAAAACTTTTAAGTTACACATTAAATAGTAATACCTGTTTTACTCCTTGCATTATATAAAACTAAAATAAATAAGATTTTAGTACTATTTCTATGAGTTTAATACAAACTAACTAAAATAAATTTTCATCTTTCATAATACTGCCAGTTATCAATAATATAGTGAAATTGTTAATACGCATAGATGTATAAAAAAATATTAATCCTTTTTTTTTAGTTTCAAATAAATTTATAAAACAAGGTTTGATTTAAGAAAAATTAGTTTACTAAAACCAAAGAAGTAAAAGATAATCTTTGTTGGGGTGAACTGAAATCAACAGATATATTTATTTTCTATTTCTGTTTTTCTTATAGAATAGATGAGAAACTAATAACATTAGAAAATAATAAATATATAAGATGTCATGCCTCCAGTATTATATATCTTTAAAGATATAACTACATTAATACTATTAAATTTCCTTACTATATATTTATAATAATTAAAAGTTCATTATTACTATTAAACTAAACATTCTAACTTTGAAGTGGATTTTTTACTGCTATATGATTAAGACAAGTTTGAACAAAATGCTGTTATTATTTCATCTTGTAATATACTTATTTCAAAATAAGAAGAATTTTAGTCAATTTAAAGCTATCAGAACAAAATATTTGAAATTAAAATAAATCATTCTAAGAGTGAATGAACAAGTTTTAATGTAAGCCTTTAATCAAGAAAACTAACAGCTATAGCTGATGTCAATATAATATTGATCTTATCACAATTATATATTTATTCTAACCTAATTCTTCTTCATAAATAACTCGACTGAAATCAAAGAAAAGTAACTATATTATATGTTGTTAATGGCTGAATGATAAAGGAGAACCCAGGAAAAATTGATTCAGAGATCAATCCCGGTAATTAATTAAATATTCAAATCAAAGAGTTTATTTTATTAATTAGATATATTTATAAGCATAATTATAAGAGATATATTATAATTAGTTATATTTATCATTAAGGAAACCACAAAGATAATAATATAACTGGCAAAAATAAAATTCTAAATCAACTCAAATAGAAATAAACAATCATGAACAGAAACAAAAAAGTTGTGAGAAAAAAATGGTAATAATAATTACTATAGAATCATCATTAATGTTCTAATTTAAAGTAAATATATAAAAACTTCAATCATATCTATGAATTATAATGTGGGGTTTATTAACGACACAAATTTCTATTCATTTTTATATTAATGATACAGAACTTTTAAAAATATGAAAAACTTTTTGTTATATTAAATATGTAGTAAATTAAGGGATAAATCATGAGATTGGTTCTTGGGTTCCTATACTTTAGTATGGATGGTCTCTTAAAAAAATAAACTAAAACTTCCATGGTTAAAGTAAGCCTAAAGGTAAAAATATTTGTAAAAATTAGCAAAAAGAATATTACATAATATGAATAAAAAACTGTTAATGAACAAATAATACTTTTCTAAAATTAAATATGTCAATTTTATCATGAAAAGATCAGACAGAAAGTTATACAATTTAAGCTTAGAATTGATTCAAATCAATATTTTATAGCCTCAACAATTAGGATTTTTTATAGCATCTATACTAATAAATGACAGAATTGGGATTTAGAAAATAGAAATTGAATTTTAAAAACTAAGAACAAAAATATGCTTCTTTGAGTGATAAGTTACCCAATAATATTTTCTTATGAATTACAAGGGATAGTTATGAATGTTTATGAAAAAAAGGAAATAGAAGCTTTTTATGTTTTATGTTAATAACAAATAGTTTTTGTTGAAGTATTTTTTAAATTTATCAAAAGTTATAATTACGTATACTTTAAGCTTGAATATTAATTGCTAACAATAAGCATAAAACTTCAAAAATTACAAAAATATATACAACACTGTCACACTTGTGTTAAATAATTAGTTTCAATAGCAAGAAAATAATAGTTTTAGATAATTTATAATAATAAATGAAAAATAGAAATAATTCTATTCTAGCATGTTGACAAAAATATCGCTTTATGACTTCATTTCTCTAGGACCGGATTTTCATGCAATTGCATCTTTATTTTACTAGCTTCAAATTCAGCCAAACCATGACAGAAATTCAAATCATAAAGGACACATAATAATAATTTTATTGACACTATGTTTATTTTGCAAGAAACCACCTTTTTATTATTATTGCTTTTAGAGCTTTAAATATAAAATCTCGTCCCGGACATGATGTTAAACTGCGACCTGGGTGGACAGGACTCATACCCATAGTGAAGGCAACCTGTCTAGGGGAAGGAACCCCCAAAATCAAACCACTGTCCTTGAAGTTTAAAAAAGGTTGATCATACGGCCAGCACCCCTTCATCGAAAAAAAATAATTCGCTTTCAAATCAAAACAGAAATGCATGGTAGCCAGAGGGCTCCGTGAAGGAGATTGGATAGACAGAGAGCTGTGGCTTTTGGGTGTTGGGGATATGACTCCTTAAGTTGTAGAAATCACAAATAAAAAAAAAAATAAAAAAAGAATATATATATATATATATATATATATATATATATATATATATATATATAAAATCACTGTTTATTTACAAATTTCTCTGTGATTCATAAAAAAAAATAATAATAAAAATATGTGTCACAAAACTAATAATTAATATTCTGTTAAATGATTTATTATTGTATGAGCTCAATTATTCCTATTTTGGTCTCTTAATTCTATTGTGTGCTGTTCATTACCATATTAATAATAATTAATAATTTTTATAACAAGATTTGGTCAAATCTTTGGTGTGAAATAAATTTGTATTTGGTATAAGTTTGTATTAGTATGTTATTTATATATGTACAGACAGCCTTATATGCTGAACATATGATAGCTCTTTAAGTTTTATCCCAACACAATTAATACAACACGATATAAATAAAGTTATGGGGAAAAGAATGTGAAACTTTCACCAATAGTAATCCTTGAAGAAGTAATAGCTATCTGAAGAATCTGGATAGTTGATGGTCTGTTTATTCAGAAATTTGAATACATTTACACAATTAGCAAAGAGTTTAAAACATGCTTTATAAAAAAAAAAGTTTAAAAAAAAATTAGTTTAATGTGAATTGGCAGTTTTAAGTTACATTTTAGTAAAATTCTGAAGGAAATAAAAATCTTGAATAAAATAATATCTCTTTAAATGTTTAAATCCATATTATTACTGAAGTAAGAAAAAGTTTATAAAAAATTAAATTGGTATTATAAATAATGGATAGTTATAAAATTGTATTAAAACATAACTATGTTTTAAATGGAGAAAGTTCTGATGGGTTTGTTGCACCAAATATTTTAAGTTCATATAAACAGTACCCAATTATAAGAGAAGATAGATACATGTAAGGGTATTTTCTCCTTTAAATCCTATATTGGATCAAAAGGGATATAACTTGACAAAAAGACAAGAAATGTACAATGTACTGCACTTAAATAAAAATAATCAAGTTGATAGCTTCTAAGAGTGTTCACACAGTTTTTTTTTTTTTTAATTTTATGTAGCTATATAAATTAAAAACTATTAGTTTTAGAGCGTTTAATTTTTCCATTCTCCATATCCCATTACACTAAAAAATTATAATAATATTATATAAAGTTAAACCAGATTTTTTTTAATACCTCTTTTAACATGTTTAGAGTTTAGTGTTGCATGCATTTGCATGTTTTGAGGTTTCTACTATATGTTTCAAAGCTTTTAACTGTATGAAAATTCACTCTCTACTCATAACAAAATTTAAACCAGTTACTGAAAAATATTTTAAATTTTATGAATCAGAAAAACAAAAGATTGTTTTAGGAAACTTATCACTTATCAGTTAGTGTCAGACATTCAAGATTGTAGCTCACAACTTTTACTCAAGTCTTAATATATTTTTATACCATTTGTTGTTTTGTATTTCGAGTAGATTATCTACTATTTTCTTTTATTTGCAATTGTGTTTACTATGAATTTAATAAAGCTAAGTCGTTTAAAATCAGAGTTAGCATATGAGAAGGAAGACTTGTTCGAAAGAATATTACAATCAATAAAAACTTATTGGCCACCCAGCTAAAAAAAAAGTTTAAAACATATTAAATAAAAGTTTTTTTTACAAGTTTCAATATAAAAAAATATCAAGTTAAACAAGATCTTTTCAAATATATCTTTTAACATATTTAGAGTTTATTGTTGCAAGCATTTGCATGTTTTGAGGTTTCTACTACATGTTTCAAAGGTTTTAACTGTATGAAAAGTCAGTATGTATTCATTACAAAATCTATGCTATGTACTGAAAAATATTTAAAATTTTATGAATCAGAAAAACAAAAGATTATTTTAGGAAACTTATCACTTATCAGTTAGTATCAGACATTCAAGATTGTAGCTTACAACTTTCACTCAAGTCTTAATATAACCATGAAAGCAATAGAAGCTGGTAAGAGTCATGGAAAACTACAGTGTTACAACACCAAAATATTACATTTAGACAATTGAAAATGATAAACCAAGATAGATACTATCCTCGTAACATACAAAGCCTTATTTCCAATGAGCTAAGTTTTACAGAAAACAAGTTAAACAAATTTCTCTACATCAAAAATTTGATACTTTTAATGTGTAAAAGTTGGTTTAATCTATACAACTTTATGTCTTAAATAGGATTGAAATTTTGATTTGAATTTTTGTGGGTCAGTCTCTTTTTAGAGGATTATTTTAATAAAGAAAAAGTCAAAGAACCATTTCAATAGAAATCCACAAATATTTTATGAGTTTAACGTGTTTTAATTTTTTTTTATTTGTATGGAGAATTCTTTTATCAAAAAGAACCTCAAACTGGAGTTAGTGCTAATATAAGTTTCATTGTAACTCATCACCAAAGCCTGGATTTTTATGCAATTGCATATTTTGTTTACATACAGTTTATACTGTTGATTAAATATCTTTACATATCAGTGTACCCAGATTCAATTAGTCTAATTTTATATTCCATATATGATGACAAATGCATATTTAGATTATGTCAAATAAAAAAATTGTAATAATAATTAGAAATAATAAATTAAAATGTAGATTTATGTTTCAGTTATTATTTTATGTAATAAATCTTTTGGCCAGATGTAATGCTGATCTGTAGGAACAATAAGGTTATTATTAAGAACCATATTGTTTCAAATGTCCCAGAATAAAGTTGATATTTCTATTCTAAAATGCAACATTGAATATGAAATTCAATATGGCAATCATAGGTTATTTTCAGTCAACTACAATGTGTCAATCAACTAAATAAACAACTACAAAATAACACCATCTTCAGTAATTGACTTCTAAGAGATTGGACTTTTTTATTTCTTGGATTTTTATCTCATCTTCTTATTCCTTTTAAACTTCTAAACACTGCACTCAGTTTCAATTTCTTATTTTCTATACTAGCGGTAATATTTTTATTATTTAAAGTGCATAATTTGTTTACAAAATTGAATTATTGGATCAAGGCTTAAGATTCCAAAAATAAAACATTATTTGAAATTCATTGCAAAGTTCTTTTTTTGCTTCTATTGTTCAAAACAGGTTTCTATTGAAAACAAACCAATAATTTTAAGTGGATATAAATTTGCTGTTATCATGCCTGTTAATGTAGAAAGATCATTTTGGAATTATAAAAATATTTTTACTGTCTCGTAATGTTTCAGTTATTTTTGTTTATGAAAAACAAAAAAGAAGTAATTTTTAAACATTTCTTTTCTTAGTTCAGACCTTTTATCCAGAAAAATTAGTGTAATTGAGTATTTTATCTATATTTGTGCATATTTGCAGTTTTTTCTCTACATATTTGAAGCTTTATTACTGCATATTTTGACTGCTTTTTACTATGTTTTATATGGCATATTTTATGGGAATTTATTGCATAAATATTAGGGCTTTGCTCATCACCGTATTGGATTTAAGAATGTATAATGTTATCAAAAGCTCTAATTTTTTAGACTAATGCATAAAACTAGAAAAAAGTTGGATAACAGTATAGAGATAACAGTATTCCATGAGATGGAAAAAAAAATGGGTCTTTTTTACTTTAGGTACTGTAGTTATTTGTATACAGCAAAATTATCTGTTATAGAAAAATAATAGCTATTATTATACCATTTGTTGTTTTATATTTGGAGTAGGTTATCTACTATTTGCATTTACTATGAATTTAATAAAGCTAAGTCATTGTTTAAAAGGTAGCTATGAGATATGAGAAGGAGGACTTGTTCAAAAGAATACTACAATCAATAAGAACTTGTTGGCCACCCATCTAAAAAAGCACTTTTAAAACATCTTAAATAAAAGTTTTTTTTACAAGTTTCAATATAAAAAAATTTCAAGTTTAACAAGATCTTTTTAAATATATCTTTTAACATGTTTAGAGTTTATTGTTTCACTTCATGTTTTGAGGTTTCTACTATATGTTTCAAAGGTTTTAATTGTATGAAAATTCAGTCTCTATTCATAACAAAATCTATGCCATGTACTGAAAAATATTTTAAATTTTATGAATCAGAAAAATAAAAGATTATTTTAAGAAACTTATCACTTATCAGTTAGTATCTTACATTCATGATTGTAGCTCACAACTTTCACTCAAGTCTTAATATAACCATGAAAGCAATAGAATTTGGTAAGAGTCATGGAAGACTGTAACACCAAAACATTACATTTAGAAAATTGAAAAACGATATACCAAAATAGATACTTTCCTCATAACATATACAGCCTTATTTCTGACAAGCTAAGTTTTACAGAAAAAAAGTTAAACAAATTTCTCTACGTCAAAAATTTGATACTTTTAATGTGTAAAAGTTATTTTAATCTATATAACTTTAGTATTAGTATATAACAGAGGAATAACAACATTGATTCAAATTTAATTGGTACTTTTCTATAACAGATATTTTTTATGTTTAAAAATAACTGGCACACCTAAAGTAAAAAAGACCCAAAACTATTTATAAGTGACAAAAGATATGATATATCTTTAAAGAATCTAGAAAATAAAAATACATTTTAACTAGATCATCATTAATTTTATGTAAAACTGTATGAAACTGAAATAAGAATAAAACATGCTGATAGAAAAACAGTCGATTTGACTTATTATCAGTAATTTCATGAACCTAACCAATTTTTTTATGATACCCTATCCATTGCTATCTACTTCTACTTCTTACACCTACATCTCATTTTTAACTCCCTTTAAAGTTTCAAGTCTACTATATAATTGAAATTGAATTGAACATTAATAGGAAAATAAAACAAGGGAATAGATCGAGAAACCAGGATTTATAAAATCATATTGATAGTAAATTCTACATAGCATGAATACCAGGATATTATTCTTTATTTACTTTTATAGGATTACAATCAGAAGCAGATTTGTTCTGGAAGACCATAGGAAGGAAGAGGCATATAAGAAACCAGGAATAGCTAGTTGTAAACATGTAAATTGCCTTTGTTGCAGAAGTGAGATATTAAGCATTGATCTGTAACATCTTAACACAGCAAAAATTCTGTCTTATTAAAAAGGCAGGAAAGAATTGAAATGAATAAATTACAGTAGAATGTCAATAATTCGGACATTAATCAGACAGACAAATCTTGTTTAATTTTTACTTTTTTTTTTACCAAATTGAGATTGGTTCAAAAATTTTTCTTAGGTCAACAATTAAAGCAAAGTTTGAAAAACTCTATTTATAGAACTTGTTGCAGTTCTTGACTGCAGTAGTAAAATAAATTGTAGTTCATATATAAATTAAATACTCAAATTAAAATAATTATATTTTAATTTTTAAACTCTGATCTTGTAATAAAAATTTTGAACTTAAGTTATTTGAATTAAAATATGGCTCTTTCAGATATTTTTTATGCTTATCTTTTGAAGGCCCAAAACATTCTTAATTCTTTCTACTCACCTTCTCAGTATGTGTTTAAACATTGAATTAAACAAACAGAATTTTTTTCAAATAATTACGTTCAAATGGCTACATTCTGTATAATTAGTTCTAAGTTTAATCTTTTTATAATTGCATCTATTATCCAGACTATTTCAGTATCTGGAACAAGGGTTAACATTGATTAGTTCAGATGATTAAGACTCTATTGCAAATAAATACAATTTTTTTTTTAAATCTAATGCCAAATGAAGTAATTAGAAAAATGGTAAGGGGCCTTGTTTAAGATATTCTTCTCCAGATGTGGTAGTAACCATGCTATTGCAACAATGAATATCTGTGAAATTATAAGAACTAATTTTATCATATAAACACATGTGTTGGAAATCCTTTAGGGCAACAATACTGGCTAGAAAGTATAAACAATTAATTTGGACAATTGAAATATAACTCAAAAATCAACTACTACAAAACATAGAAGCTTAAAAAATTTATTTTAATAAGGTTGAACCTAACCTTAAATTTAAATTCAGATTGACAACCAAGTATGTTAGTCTACATAAACCATCATCAGCATTAATTATTCGATGAACCCGTTTGCAATATGAGCCATATGTATAAAAGTGAATTACACAAATAAAAGAAACAAATAGCATATCATAATGCCCAAATATATCTGTGATATTCAGGTCTATCATGTATATCTTTTCAATAAAATGAGATTATTGATCAACTGGTTGACACCATCCTTTAAATAAAATTTCTTTTCAAGTGCTTAGTTACACCCTCACTGATATAAAGACCATAGCTGGACTATTTATACAACTTCACAAGAACCATATTAGTGTGTTTTGATTTGTTAACTGGAAGAAAAGGCAGGTCTATGGGGAGAAAGGGGAGGCTTTCAGGATGAAGCATCCTTCTCCCCAAAAAAAGGTAAAATATAACCATGTTTTATTGAAAAAAATATTAAACAATTATCTCTTAAAGTATTATTGTTCATCTAATTACATTTAATAAGACTTCAAGAAACACTTGAACACCATTTCGTATAGGTAGTTAGTTTCTTTATTTTTCTTCCAAAGTAATTATCATTATTAAGAAAGGAGATGGACTGGGGTGCCGGTCAAAAATAGACTAAATAGTGGCAAAACTATTTTATTACAAGCCAAAGTTTCAACATGACTTCAGTTCTAAGTGAAACTCCCTGCTGAACACACCTCCCTGAAGAAGACCTGCAAAGTTGGGTCGAAACGTTGACTTTTAAAAGTTTTGCCGCTATTTAGTCTATTTATGACCACGATCCCGGACCATCTCCTTGCTTAATAATACAAAGGTCAACCATTAAGTATTCAATAATTATCATTATATTTGGAAAAAAATAGGTTTCGGACTGAAGCCTCTCCCAAAATGAAATCCTGGATCTGCTAGTGGCTGGAAGTATAGGTGTATATAATATATCGCTGACATCCTTAAAGCTTATTTAATGCTATCTGCTTATGTTATAAGTAAGACACAGATTTGTGCGAAATAGCATTTTTTTTTTTCAAAATAGGAGTTGATATAGTTGAAGACAAGATGGTTGGAGGTTCAAAATATAAAAATAAATATAATTTATTTTTACTTTGACTTCAATCATGAATCATATTCTATTCAAATAGTCAATAATTATTCACCACCATGAGTTGATAGTAATAAACAACAAGTTGTTCTAAATCTTTTGGCAAATTTTTATATTATATATTTGGCTAAAATTTGATTATTTTCATATTCAGCCTAAATATGCACATTTTGAATAATTTGATTTATTTAAGGTATACATTTTTTATCAATTATCCGGAAAATAAAATTTTGATCAAATCGTTTCAGAATGGGGACTTTTTTCTTCATAATTATAAGTAATATTTCTCACATCTCCCGACGGACAATTTCTACCCTCAAACTATTCCATCGCTTCCGCCATCTCCTATCTCAACATACGCGTAGACTCCTGGTTTCCTCTCTCATCTTCCCCCACTTTGACTACAGCTGTGTGGTGTATGATGGACTCTCGGTGGAGCTCCGTGACAGACTGAAAAGATTAATGAAGAGTTGCGTGAGATTTGTAATTGGTGCCCCGAGATCCTACCATGTCTCTCACCACTACAGTGAGTTAGAGTGGCTCTTCCCCTCCATTCGAAGACAATATTTCCTAGGTACGTTCCTCTATCATATCATTAACAATCATCGTCCTTCTTACGCCTACAACCTTCTCCAATTCAAGTCCTTAGTCCACTCCCTTTCCACAAGATCTCGAACTTCCGACCTGTACATTCCCTTTCACAGATCTGCCTCGTTCCAAAACTCCTTTATTGCTAGCTATATTAGTTTCAGACTTCCTATCAAAATTCGGCATTCTTCATTCCTATCTACATTCTAAACCCTCCTATTCCAATTCCTGTCCCAAAAACAGTCAGATACCAGCTAACCTTTTATAATTAAAATTACATATTATTCATAATAATGTATTCACATATAGCTCATAACTTAAATACTTATAGATTCAACTTTCTTTTTTTTTTCAACAGAAACACAGAGTTTACTGCAAAGAAGAATCTACATTTATTTTTTCTAAAAGTGTATATTTGTATTTTACTATTGTACATAGTTTTAAGTGTCTTGGTAAGGTTTAAGAGTATATAGATTTTTTAAATTTATTTTGTATATAGTATGTATAACTAATATTTTTTTTTACTGATTTATCTTTATCTTTACTTTTTATGTTTGTTTTTATTTGGCCAGATATAACATTTTAATTTTGTACTTTTTTGTTATTCTGAAGGGACTTCGTCCTAGAATAAAATTATTTTCTATTCTAATATCATCACACCTCAAGTAATAAAAGGAAATAATTTATAACTTATTGATTTTATTTATTTTGACAAAATATTTTATAATATATTATAAAATAAAGAAAGAAAGAGATATTTTTTCATATCCAGTTAATAGATTAAATAAGATGTTAATTTTTAAACCAATTAGTATTTGACAGTGTTAATCATATTTCTAGCTTTTATCATAACATGGAACCCACATACTATAATTTAAAGACAAGAGCTTAACTGATGATCAAATGTAAGGTAAAGTACAACAAACAAGTCGATAATGGTGTCAATTATATATTATATAGTAGAAGTTGGAGGAAGGTGCAGTAAAAAATAAAATTATACACAAATAAGAAGTTTTATTTAATTTTGTGCAGAAATAAAAACTGAAAAAACAAGGTCAAGTTCCTAAATTCAACACTGAGTTAATCGATGGCATCATTTAGAGAAGGATCTGATGTCATCAATAGAATCAGCGCTGTTTAGGAACTTACACCAACCACTATGAAAAACATTATAATAAGAATATAAAAAAATTGCATTAAAATATTAAAGGTAAACCAAATATGAATGTGCAATTGAGAGTTCCTACTTAATATCATTTCATTTATGTAAAGAAAAAAAAAAAATACAAATCTATTTTACACAGAGAGATTCCGTTATTATACAACAAATTATCCTAAAACATTATATAACTTACAATTTTTTAAAGCTGGTAATAATATACTTATCAATGAATACATAGTAACAAAACTAATAATAAATAATACATACTAAGAGAATTTTATAACTTTTAAAGTTGTAAATAATACCTAAATATATTATATATAACATTCATGGAATGCATAAGTACTGTTATAAAACATAATTCTGAAGAAAATTAAATACAATCTCATATCAGTCTTAAAAATATCAGGATGAGAATAAATAATAAAGGCTAACTGAAAGAAATTCTCTATCTCTAATGATTCATTCAATTTACTGTTGTCTTCTTCTAGTTTCTATTTCCATCACCTGAGTAATGAAACATTAAATCAACAGCTGATTTTTAATATCTAACAGATCTTTTTTTTTCATATTTAATACATGAATTTCATTTTATATAATTATTTTCAAAAGATAGGTAAATAATAAGTCATCTAGTATACTAAATAGGATTCTAAATCATAATGTTACATGAGATTGAATTTAATATTCTATGAGATCACATTTATTTGTATTACATACAATCATGACATTATTCATGTATAAGTATATAACAAGAGTCTTTTACAATTATAGTTCATCGTGTTTTGAAGATATAGATGTTGGATAAGACCAAAATCCCGAAGGAAGTCCTCGGACATCTCGTTCACGTTTTACAAATGCCGTGAAAGAAGAAATGCAATTCCCAATAAAGTAATTTGACAATCCGAGTATAGCCAGTTCTACATGAGGACTCGATCCTTCAGCCTTCACAACGGTTATCTGTTAACATAATATAAACAGCAAATCAGTCAAATAATTCTATTATTGCATTTACATATATTAAGATATTTAATAATAAAAAATAATAAATAATTGTGGGTTGATGGTTGACTGTCGTGAATAACGAAGAAAAGGATGGTTGGGGTGATCAGTCAGAAATAAGAAGACAAAATAAATAATAATATTTATTTTAACATTTGCCAATTTTTTGACCTGAAGTTCAGGGCTAAGAAAAGAACCAGATAACAAGATATGAGAAACACAAATAATGTAGGTAAAAAAATTAAAGTAAAATGAATTGGGTAGAATAATGACAACAGTAAGAACTAAAAGATAAATAATAATAACCATTACAAAGTGTGGAATGATGAAGTAAACATAATCAAAAAAGGTGACATAAGTATTAAAATGGTAATCTTAGAATAAAATGTAAACAGAAACAAGGAATATAAAGTTATATAAGAAATGAAAATAAATAGTAAAATTAAGATATTGCGAATAGAATAGTTAGATAGAAAATTGAGATATTGTAAAGTCTATCGAAATAATACTTATGTCACCTTTTTTTACTATGTTTACTTCATCATTCCACACTTTGTACCGGTTATTATTATTTATTTTTTAGTTCTTACTATTGTCATTATTCTAACCACTGCATTTCACTTTATTTTTTACCTACACTACTTATGTTTCACATACCTTGTTATCTGGTTCTTTTCTTAGCCCTGATGAAGGCCTGAACTGCAGGTCACAATTTCGGCAAATGTTAAAATAAATATTATTATTTATTTTGCCTTTTTATTTCTGACTGATCGCTCCAACCATCCTTCTCTTCAAAATAATAAATAAATTATTAAGAATCAGGTAATTCTACAAACTGAAATGCATGCAGTATTTTAATGTAGAAAAGAAAAGTAAATTTTATTCTAGGACATTTAGACGCCTAAGAATAATTATAATGAACAACAAGGTGAGATTCGTCTGGCATTTTAAGAAAATAAAAAAATAATTAGTAAACATAATAATGTAATCTTAAAATTAAAATAAACAAAGCACAAGTAAACATATTAATTTGTACATAATTATATATGAGTGCGTTTACATGTTTGTACTGATTAACAATATTGATAATATGAAAGTAACATCAAGATAACAGTCAAATGAAGTTAGCTAAGAGCTTTTAAATACAGAAATTTTATACTTACACGTATTCGGAAGATAGAGTGCTGAGGAAGTGGAAGAATAAATGTTGTTTAAATGAAGTTGAGGAAGCATTATTGGCATATAGAGGTAGATAATAGGAATTCTAAATAAAGGTAGCACGCATGACAAAGGATTTTTTAAAGGAAACGGTTCTATGAGAGGGAACAAACAGGTTTATGGACTGGGATCTCCTGTTAAATGAATAAACAGAGGAACAAGGAGTAAACAAGTCAAGGAGGTAAGATGGCTTTGTGGCTGAAGAGGTTCGGAAAAGGAATACACCTTGGAAATATTGCTGCTGGAAAACTGGATAGAGCCATTTTAACACGACTTACCAAAGAAGTGGAAGTGTCTAAGAACTCCAAAGATGGATCAATTCATTAATCATTAATGTATGTCCACATTTCGGCTTAAGTTTCTTCTGGGTGACAATTGTATTCATTCTAATTGTTAAGGAATCAGATTGTAACTGGATTGTTTCTATCAGAGTATTTATCATCTGATGATAATTTGTAATGGAATATTACAATGAAATAATTTTTTTTTTTCATTTTCAAACATTACAAGCTATTTATATTATATAAATAATACCCAATATTTATTTTGTTCTCTGCGTCATAGTTATCATTTTGTTTTTTTTAACGTTTATTCTGTAACTGAAACCAACTGCGAGTCAAGAAAATACAGTGCAATCTCAGTATTTTGTACTTCTGTAGTCTAAATACATCCAGTAATCAGAACTCTCCAGGGTAAAAAAAAAACAAAAATGGAATGACAATAAAGCATGAAGACACAGTATTTTGTTTTAGCTTCTATTGCTTCAATCTTGAACTCAAAAGTTATGCTTTCTCTTTGGGCAGATCCAGGTGCCGAATCAAGTCACTGAGTTCAGCTTGAGTAAGCAAGTCTTCTTGTTCGAAAGAAAAATCAGAATCATCTGATGGAGTTCCTCTTACGGGATTTCCCTCTTCATTATCCTCGTCCTCATTCAAGTCATAGTGTTCAGGAGGCATTGGAACAGGCGATTCGCCCCCGTGTGGTATTACCAGTATAGCAGAAGGAATGTCAGGGTACTTCACTTCATATTTCTTTTTTTGAGACATTCCATGATGAAGAGGAGGGGTTATGCAAAAGTAGCAGTTGTCATTGTGATTAGTAGGCTCCTTCCACACCATGGGAACGGTAAAACGCATTGAACGACCTTTCTTGTTCAACCATTCTCGGTCTAAGAGAAGAAACAGCGAGGCAGGATCTAAAAGACTCAATAAAAAAAAAAAAACTAAAATGGGGAGGTTGGGGTCTAACAACTGATCATTTCCGAATACCATGTAGAAATTATTTACTCATAAACACTGCCACAAAAATTTGTTTATTGTATATTCGATGAAAACTGTTTCTCTTGACTAATTTTGATGTGAAAAACTCGAATTTTCTGTCAGAATCCTTATATTAGCTACCATTATGCAGATACGTATACCCAGTACCGAATACAAAAAATTATGTTATTGGAAGTTACACGATAATTTTTTAGAGCGCTTTATTATTTGTGCAAGAACAGCACTGTTGTAAAATTTATTTAAAATGTTTCTTCTTTGCTTGATGATGGTACTGATGTTCTGGCAAATCCCTCACAACATTCCAACAGTAGTCTGCGAGCATTGAAGTATTCCACCGACCTTGATATCTTCGTTCGTTCGAGGATATATCCTGGTGAAATTGTTCACCATGTTCGTCATTTACAGATCCACAATTTTCAGGAAAGAAGTCCAAATGAGCGTGAATCTTGAGTGATATGTTAAAACCGAGATTTCTGCATTTCTCAAGGAGGGTTTGGACTGACAGCATAATTGTCCTCTCTTTTGTTACCCAAGAAACCATTAACTAAAGCTATAAATGCTTCCCACGCTGCTCTTTCTTTAATCTGAAAAATATTCAAATATTCTCCGTCAATAAGAAGCTCACAGATTTGTGGACCAACAAATATACCCTCTTTAACCTTAGTTTCACTTAAGAGAAGAAATTTTCCTCTCAAGTACTTGAATGCCTCTACTGATTGGTCCGTTCCTTTGACAACATTTTTCATTTTTCATAACTTTAAATGTAGTGGGGGCAAAATGATTTTTTCAGGGCCCACAAGAGGGTTGTAGAGAATATTTTTTTGTCCAGGGGTCAGGACTACTCTTTCAGGCCATTCTTTCCTGATATAATGAGATTCTCTGTCGGGACTGTCCCACTCACATAAGAAACAACAGTACTTAGTATATTCCTGTTTCATGCCTAAAAGAATTGCCACCACTTTCAAGTCTCTACAGAGATACCATTGGTAATCTTGGTATTTGATGGATTTTAGAAGGGTTTCCATGTTTTGGTAACTTTCCTTCATGTATACAGCATCGCCAATAGGAATAGAGGGAAGTAAATTGCCATTGTACAACGGAACTGTCTTGAAGGCTACTTCTGATGACTCGATGAACAGCCTTCATTCAGAAGGGTTGTGATTGAGATTTAATACTGTCATCAGACCTGTGACATCACAGCAGACAACAAGGTTCTCATACTTTTTGAAAAAGGGGATCAAGTCTTTCTGATGATTTCTGTACATTGTAATCTTTACATCAGGTTGTAAGAAGTTCTATTGCTTCAATCTTGAACCCATAAATTATGCTTTCTCTTTGGGCAGATCCAGGTGCCGAATCAAGTCACTGAATTCAGCTTGAGTAAGCAAGTCTTCTCGTTCGAAAGAAAAATCAGAATCATCTGATGGAGTTCCTCCTACGGGATTTCCCTCTTCATTATCCTCGTCCTCATTCAAGTCATAGTGTTCAGGAGGCCTTGGAACAGGCAATTTGCCCCCATGTGGTATTACCAGTATAGCAGAAGGAATGTCAGGGTACTTCACTTCATATTTCTTTTTTTGAGACATTCCATGATGAAGAAGAGGAGTCATGCAAAATTAGCTGTTACCAGTGTGATTAGTAGGCTCCCTCCACACCATGAGAACATCAAAACACATTGAATGACCTTTCTTGTTCAACCATTCTCTTAAGGTTACGCTACATGTGATGTAGCAGATGTGCGGGGTTCACGGTCCATCTTGGTCACCAACCTTCAACCTAAAATACTAGTGATATGCTGTCTTGATCATCTCGGTGATATGACGTTTTTGACTTGCAAAGGTTACTCCCCCACAAATGTAACAAAAGTTGTCAGGAGCATTCACACACTTCTTGGACATAATGACTCCACCAAAACTACTGGGTTATCATGACAAAATCGTTAAAAGAATGCCTGAAGCAAAAAAAATCATGTCAAGAGTAAGTTAAATGTAAACACCACATACAACTGTCAACAAAATGGTTCTGTGATTCACAGCTAGTCATTTCCTGTGATTCACAGACAGAAATCAATCCTACCTACCCAAGAGCAGGAAATTTTCGTATATTATACAAAAAGTAACTGCATCTTTGAAACTAGAGCTAAATGACTATTTTTATGTTGAAATTCGAATTTCTCACATCGAAAAACATGGAATGAGACTATTTTCAAGTGAGATACAATATCAATGTAGAGAAGTGTAATTAACGGCACTGACTGATAGATACTGCCATCTGGTTGGACCAAATTGTAATTATTGATTAATAAAAATAAAAAAATGTCCCACCAACAAGTGATATGATAAGCGGTTTCATCCTCCTGAACACAGAACCTACAGAGAGGCGACTCCGGTAGCCTGAGTTTCAATATATTATAGTTCAGTTTACAGTGACCAGTATATATTGCTGTAATTTTCTTGAGAG